GTGAAAGAAGTTGCAATTTCTGCTCTCTGCAAATTTGACTGAGGCTAAGTAAAGGAGACACCTCAGGCCTGCAAATCAGCTGAGGGCCTCTTTCTTGCTTTTAGAGAAAAGGAAACACACATACCCTGCCTCATACTGCTCAAAGACAGAAAGAGATGGCCCTGCCTATTCCCACAGGGGAAGTGTTGCATTTGTATTTTTTAAGAGCCAAACGTATCTACTTCCGCAGGAGAATGGCTCTACCATGGTGTCCTGGTAATGTTGCACATAACCAAACAGACTCGATAGACAGCGCTTACCTGCGGGTGGTGTGAATCTTGATAGAATGCTCTTGGTTCTTCTGGAACATGATAACTTGGGAGGCTCCTCAGGAGCTACTGCAGGTTATTTTTCATTTGCCTACAGGCCTCCCTGGGAGGTCACCCTGAGACAGTTTTCTCATGGCTTCTGGGCCTCTTATGAGAGTGAGGCATTTTGCTTCACCCCCTGACCCACCACTCCCTTAGGACTCAGTTGCAGACTATAAAACAGCATAGCTGCAGCTTGAAAATCCTCAGGAGCAGGGTAGCTGAACATGCACATTGCAGTATCTGGTCCCTTTTGTCTCAGTCGTTTTGTGTAAGGGACACAAGGAGCTGGCTTCTTTAGCTGCTTTTGCTTTTTTCTGTCTATGGAAGTAGCCAATTGAATATAAAAAAAGGCTGGGTTCCTGACTGGCCAAATCTGCCATCCTTTGTCTTGCATTGCTTGACAAATCTCATCTTCACCAAGATATTTTCATTTCTTTGTTTTTTAATGGCTTTTATTCATATGTGAACATGTGCTTTCTAATGTGCTGAAGTCTATATAAACTGTGCTTTAACTGTGCTTACCTTTTAGTATTTACAAAAGTCATATTGTGTGATCTTCATAACCATAATTTATTTGGCCTCTGTAGTTGGCTATTTAGATTTTTTTTCAAAACTTTGTGCTATTGTAAAGGCAGCATTTATAACTTATGCATTTTTTTAGAATATAATGTTAAAGTTGGAATGAATAGATCGATCAGTATTAACACGTTATTTTTGGGCTATAAATATGTATCATCGATGTAACTTTCAAAAGTTTTAGTCAAGGTTACAAAGCCGCCATCAGTGAGGGAGCTTATTAGTTTCCCTGCAGACTTGATTTAATGATACTTTTAAATGTCCAAGTTACTAATTTAGTAGATATTTCTGCTACATCCTGGCTATATATACTAAAGTGAGGCAGTGTTATATAGTTGGTGTGCATGGGCTAGAAATGTTTAAATCCAGACTTTTCTTGAGGTATGACCTCTGAAAGCCTCAGTCCCTTAAAATTATTAAGTAAGGTTATAAAAACAATGTTGTAAGGAATAAACAGAACATATACATTGCACATAGACGTGTGCGCGCACACACACAACACAGACACGGACACACTAGCCAACCACCTGCTTTGGTACCTGGCATATAATTGATGTATATTAAGTGATGGATAATATACAATCAAATACATTTTAATGTTAGTGTTTGGCAGTAGAGTAATAATTGGAACACTTTTCTGTAACCAGTGTGTATAGTGAAAAGAAGAGGAATTTAGGATTAACAAAGCTATAGGTATATCCAATATTCTGTAAAACAAAGGTCATATCTGTAGTATGTCTGAGATAACTGCATAAAAAATAAAGTAAATTTGGTACCTGAAGCAGTGCTGTCTCATAAGTGGTTTCTTCCCTCAGGGAAATTGAGAAATGAGTTAGGCAAATAAATATATTTGAATTCATTTTTAAAGTCAGAAGTACCACCCTCTGCCTGCCTGCCATCCCTGTAGTTCATTAAGTGGATATTTATGGCCAGAGATGATTATAGTTCCAGGGACAATGGTGATAAGTGAGACCAAAATCCCTTGTTTTCATGACCTTACATTCTCATTCTAAGCAACCAAACTGGTTCATTGCAGCTAATGTAATCCTCGTGAAAAAGAATGAAACAAGCTGAAAAGAGACAAACGTGCTGACAGAATAGAATCAGTGACAAGGGGAAGGGGTGTCTACAGGCTCCAGGTGCAGGCAAACTTGTATTCCCTCATCTCATTTACAAGCACTATATTGCTGAGTAGTTTTCTTGCTTTCAAAAATATTTAATACATTGAAAGTCATTATTGTTTGATGTGTTTTCTTATCCAGATAAATTTTAAAAGGCTCATCGCATACTTCTGTGATCATGAAAGTTCTTAGATATGATTTACTTTTGGTGAAATGAAAATATATGACAATTGAAAATATTAAATTGAGAAACCATACACAATCTTTTTTCTACAGCTGTTGTAGAAAATGAGATATCTATATTTGCTTTAGAGCCAACACTGCTGTTATGTTTTTGTAAAGCATATAATCGTAATGTAGTAAAATGTTTATGTAAAAATAGGGATGTTGAATAATCTTACTAGATCATCTTCAGAGTTTATCAAATTGCTTTCTCTATTTGGGAAAGTAAAATATCTCATGTGTTGTAGAAATAGCAGCAAATATTTAAGTGGTATAATGGGCCAACAGGCTGAGCTCTGTGGAAGTCACACTATGATATCTCACTGTTTTCAAATAAAGCAAGGAAAATCTACAATTTTCTTAACTGTGTTCGATAATTAAAATGCTTTAAAAATTATCATGCTTTAGTAAATGTACTGCTTAGCAATAACAAGTTGGTGTGTTGTGATTGATAAATAGTAGTAGTAGTAAATGTTACATTAATGTGGATGCTTTGTTGTGTCTGTTTTAAAACTATAAATTGATATTGTTTTTTCTGTATTACCTGAGCATAACATATTCTCTTTTTTTGTCAATGATATGTATGGATAACAAAGGAAAAATGATGTATATTATTTATTTATTTTGTATCTAATAGCCTAGGGACTGGGTTATATTTTTATTCCAGTAGGAAGCATACTTTTTGACACATTAAGAGGAGGTCAGAGAATGATTTTTAAATGATTAAAATGAAAAAATGTTAATTTTTCGTGCACAACTTGGTGGGTTTTTATGTTTGTTAGTCCATCATTTTGCTTTATTGTCCTGAGAGATTTCAAATGTTTGACTTAGAGGTGTATCTTACCTTCTGTCACCACCAATGCTAATGCAGTTCTGACCATCTCTACCTTCTCTGAGAACATTTTGCAGAAAGATAAATGGTAAAAAATTTGATCAGTGTTCTCCAAGGATGTGTGTACATGTTTGAGTGTGTGATTGTGTATGGAAGAGGGGGTTAATAATACTTGTAGAGAATTTCAAAACTACATAATAACAAGGAAAGAATATTTACAGTAATCTCAACGCCCACATATAGCCATTGTTAAATATTTTGCTGTTTCTTTCCAATTGCTTTAGTTTTATTTTTATTTATTGATTTGTGTGTGTGTGTGTGTGTGTGTGAGAGAGAGAGAGAGAGAGAGAGAGAGAGAGAGAGAGAGAGAGATCAGTTTGTTGTTCTGCTTATTTATGCATTTGTTGGTTGATTCTTGTATGTGCCCTGACTGGGAATTGAACCCACAACCTTGGTGTATTGGGATGACTCTAACCAACTGAACTACCCAGCCAGGGCTCCAGTTGCTTTTCTATGCATCTGTGTTTGCCTGTGTGGACACACATATAAGCATACCTTGCACAATGAAGGTGCTTTATAAGTATGTTGAATAAGTGAATGTTTTAATATATATAACTTGTATTTTAAAACTTAATATTATACTATATATAATGTTTTGTGTCCTTGCCTTGATCTTTTTACTTATCCCAGAAAATTCTCAAGTTATTTTATTTAAAAATATGGATTTTGATAACTTCATAATCATATATACACATACTTTCCATAATTTATAACCTTTCTCCCATATTAATTTTATTTTGCATTTTTGCTGTAATAATGTTATGTAAATTTTTACTATTAAGTTTTATCATGACTACTTTCTTAGCATGTAATAATTCTAGGAGAGGAATTACTAGGATATAGAATATAAATTTAAAACAATTATTAATTCTTTTTGCCAGATTTTTCTTATTTAAAGATGTTTTACTGAATTACAAAGTTTAGGTATTTATCTAGAAAATTTGAAAAGCAGAAAAACAAAGTACAAAGAATATTGGGAAAATTTTTTTATAATCCTGACACCTAAAGATGACTTCATTTAAGGTTTTTATTTATAGAATTTTAATCTTTTTATTTCCATTCCATATTTTACAAAAAAGGATCATTTTATTTTATAAACTGCTTTTATTCACTTAGTTGTGTACTATTAATATAGCCTGCCTCTGCCAATAAACAATATACTACAATGTAATTTTATGGCCAATTATTAAAATGACTTTTCCATACAATGCACTTAATTAACTCCCTCTTAGTGAATCTTTAGTTTGTTTCCAATGTTTCATTATTATAAAGAGTTCTAAGATAAAAATCCTTGTTTTTGTCCCTTGGGCATATCCACTATAATTGTATTAAAACGAATTCCTAGAAGAATTGCTGTTTCCAAGTATATGAATATTTTTTAAGGCCTTTGACATATATTCCACAGTACCCTCTGTTAGGTTGTACTGATTGACATTCGCACCAAAAAGAGGTAAAGTGAAAGGAGATTATAAAAAAAATTTTCAAGTCATTCACCTTAAAATTAACCTAATCATCCTCTAGAGAACCTGTTCTGTGTTCTGTGTTCACTCTTCTCTGAAAGGAATAAGAGGGTACCTGTTTAAATGTTCACCAACAGTCTTCTTGAGGGTGTTATATATTCACAAGCCTGTCCTAAAATAGGACAAGCTGAATATGGAGTAGATAGATGATTTTACTCAGTGCTCACAGAGGGTAAGAGAGAAGGCTCTTACTAGTTGCTGGGTCTTCTGATCAACAGTTTAATTCACCTGCTCCTTGATTTATCTTCAATTAAATTTTATTATTTTCTGTCACTAATTGTTTCAAGAAAACTCATTGTGTTTTTTCTTTTTCCCCCAGTCCCTTCAGCAACTCCACAGGACACGTGGTCTTGGGACCAGTACTTGAAAGAACAGAATGCTCTAGCAGCACCCATTGAATTGTTTTCTCAGGTGACTACTGAAGGTCTTATGTTTTTGCAAGGAATCAATACTTGGAAAAATTAAGTAATATTAAATTCTTTGCCTAGAGAGTGCACCAACTTATTTGATTTGTAGTTGCTAGAAAATGACAAAACAAAGCTAATCAAAGACTTAATGTTTCAGAATGTGTGCTCTGAAGCTGGACTTCGGGGTTTGAAATCCAGTCCTCTTACCTTCCAGCTCCATGTCCTTGGGCAAGTCATTCAGTGCCTCTGTTCCTCAGTTTCCTCAACTATAAAGTAGGGAAAGTACCATATCTACCTCCTTGGGTTGTTGGCGGATTAAAGAAATTGTACATGTACAGGACATAGGATGCAACATGTACAAGGTAAACACTCAAAAAGTGTTAGTCTTCCTTTTTATTAGCTGATATTACTTGCATTATGTCCCCTCAAGGATCAGGCTTGAGGAATCTGTTTTGATATGTTGCATGGAGGTCGTGGGTCAGGCAACAAGTGAGACCCCTAAATCATGTTTTACCTGACTGTAAAGATGTGGCGAGACCCCTAAATCATATCTTACCTGACTGTAAAGGTGCCCAGAGCAGCCTCTGTGAACTTGCTTGACCAACTGACTACTGGCACCAGGGGCATGCAACTTCAGGGGATCATTTTTACCCACATGCCAAACCTTCTGGTGCCCTATTTTTCTCAGTTCGTGTTTTCAGTATTTCAGGGCCAATTTGTACTTAAATATTACATCATATTTGCCTCATTATATTGCATTTTAAGTAGCTGATACTTTTATTTGCTTGACTTTTCATGATATCTGTTGAGTTACATCTAGTACTTTTTTTTATGTGAAAGGGTTAATTATTGTAATCCTGGACATGGCAATAGAATAAGAAGAGATGATGCAAACAGGGAAAGAGAAACCAAGTGCTGGCACCCACATTTAAGAAATACTAAGTATCCTCTTATTTGTTCTAAACCCATTCTTCACATCAGATACTTAAGGTGTGGAACTTTGGAAAACATAGATGTGTAGGTATTCCTGACACCTACTACACAGGAACCTCAGGGGTGGAGCCTGGAAATCTCTAGCTTGAGAACCTCCTCAGGGCTTCTGTGTGCAGCATAGAAGTCCACTGTGGTAGACAGTTTTAAGAACTGTGCAATTCCTGCTTGAGTCAGGTCCCTGCTACTCCACTTTGCTGTCACTTGATGAGACTTAGGGTGTGTTTTTCCATTAAAAGTATGTGAGTTCCATAGGTAAGGGATCTCTTCTTTCTTTTCTTTCGTGTTTCCTCATAGTGTCTGCTCTGTTCAGTGAGCTCACATAATCAGTCAATGTTGAATGACCTCTGTGAAACCTCTGAAGGTCCTTAAAAGGTATCTCAGCTAGTCAGTGTGTTAACATTATTTTTTAGAGTTTCTCCTTCAAAATCCTTCAAGGTTCATCAACTAGTATAAGAACACCTGCAGACTAGAGAATTTCTCCCCCAGAGTGTCTCCTGTGATCTGATGTTATCTGAAAAACCACCAAGGGGCAAATGTGGAATATTTGTTCCTGAAATAAATATTTATTGCAATATTGGGTGCTATGTATTAATTAGCTGGGGGTCATATCACTTTTCTCCCTTGACTTTATATAGATCTGACAAGTGTACTGAGAAGTGCTAAGTGAGAGGACAGTCTTTGAACATGTAAAGATAGGAGTGGGCTCTCTTTGGAGGGTATAAACAGAGTCTGCAAGACTGTTCATGGAGTGGAGATGAGTGGTGAGGAGGGGGTGCAGTCTTTGATGATTCCTTGGCTAGTAATTTTACTTAAAATATGATTTTCTCATGCTTTTGAACTCAGTCAACTCTGAAGGTGACAGTGTTAGTACATGAGAAAGCAGACATGTCTGACATTTTGGAGTGCCTTTCTCCTTACTCATAATTTAACAGTCCAGCTACTCAAGATTTTTAATGCTTTCTGTGTGCAAAGCATCATGTAAGATGTAGACAAAAACACTAAGGAATTTATGACATGGTTTCTCAAAATCTTACCATCTCTGTGGGGATATGAGATATGCCTATAAACCATGATAACAATATGAGATAGAATGTTAATACTCAGTGGAATATACAAGTAATGGGTTTAATAGGTATTCCATGCTGAGAGGGGACCTCATCCAACCCCGAATGAGAAGAATGAAGGCACCGATTATTAGGTCTAGTTTGTCCTGATGATCTAAGAAGGTGTTTGTGTTCAAGTACTGTGTTAATTTAACTCAGTGTTTATATTCAAAGATGAGGAAAGCATGGTTTAAAATTGAAAGGTTTCAATAGGATCCAAAAGCAAGGAGCTAAGACTGAACTCAATTTTGTATTGACAGCATGCTCTTAACTATTAATGTTCATTTTCATTGTGTAAATATTATAATATGGTGTTCATATCAGTCAGCTGAGATGTAATTCTTCATCTTTTGACACCAAAATGTTGAAAATAACACTTAAAATAGTTTGCATATCCCAAATGGAAAACTATCGAAAGACATTAAAGTATTGCTTTACTTTTGATCTATAATTTCCTCATTAATATTCAAGATTTAGAAGATGACACCCAGATACACACATGCCCACATGATCAACTTCATCATGTAAATCAGATACCACTTCTAACAAGAAAATGTGTGTTTTTTTTTTTATTTTTAAATCATGTTTGTTCTATTATGGTTGTCTCAGTGTTTCCCCCTTTGCCCTCCGCCACCAATCCCACCCTGCCCCCAACTCCCACAGTCAATTTCTACTCTATTGTCTGTGTCCATGAGTCATTCATACATGCTCTTAGTCTAGTCCCTTTTCCTTTTTTCCACCATGGTCCTCCTTCCCCATCCCCTCCGGGCACTTTCAGTCTGCTCCACATTTCCATGCCTGTGGTTTATTTTGTTCCTTAGTTTATTTTATTGAATAGGTCCCACTTATAGGTGAGATCATATGGTACTTGTCTTTCATCAACTGGCTTATTTCCTTAGCATAATATTCTCCAGTTCCATCCATGTTGTTGCAAAAGGTAGGTGTTCCTCCTTTCTTTCTCCTTTTCTTTTCAAATGCAGATTGATTTTATTTATTTTTTAAATGTCAAAATCCATTATAAAAAATTAAAAAATTTAAATCCATTATAAAATATGAGCAATTAAAACATGACACCAGCACAAAAATAATCAAGTAGATAAATGAAATAAAATGAATATTCTAGAAACAAACATATATATCTGTCTAACAATGTAGTATGTTATTAAATTGATATTTCAAATCAATGGGGAAAATAAGGCTTATTCAACAAATGAGGTACATGGACCACTATTACTTGAAGTAAAACAAATATTGAGCCCAATTTCACACATGATACAAAAAATATTCAGTTGAGTTTAAAAATCAGTATGTAAAATCTAAGGAGTTTTAGGAGAAAATACAAACTAATATATTTCTTACCCTAAAGTAATATATTCAAACCCAGAAGCTATAAAGTAAAATATTGACAATGTGACCACAGTAAATATTTAAGACTATCCAGTAATCTACATATAAAAAAAGTTAAAGCAGAAGTAATAGAATAGGAAAATATTTGGAACACATCTAAAAAATGATTAATAGGTTTTGAGGTTTTTTTAGGGAAAAAATTCTACAAACATTTAATCAACAAATGGATAAAGAATACCAAAGTTATTTAAAGCTTTTTAAAAATAATGGAAGTAGGCAAAAAATATACAAAAATAGGTTTAGTTTCAACAAATAATGAAGGTACAATTAAAATACCACATCATAGTCCCAATCAGATTAATAGGTATTACAGATATTGGTAATATCAAGTATTGGCGACTGTGAAAGGAACTGAGTATTCATAGACTTGTTTTCTTCATCTTCTTAAAGCAGTTCCTTTAGCATGTTTTGCAGTGCTGGTTTGGTGGAGGTGTATTCTTTCAGCCTTCTTTTGTCTGGGAAACTCCATATTTCTCCTTCCATTTTAATTGAGAGCCTTGCTGAGTAGAGTAGTCTTGGTTGCAGGCCTTTGCTTTTCATGACTTGGAATATTTCTTGCCATTCCCTTCTGGCTTGTAGTGTTTCTGTTGAGGAGTCAGCTGCTAGCCTTACCGGGGCTCTCTTATATGTTACTTCCTCTTTCTCTCTTGCTTGCTTTAGGATTCTCTGTTGGTCTTTGATATTTGCCATTTTAATGATGATGTGTCTTGGAGAGGGTCTCATTGGATTCCCCTTGAATGGGACCCTCTGTGCTTCCTGGACTGTGTGACTTTTTTTCTCCTCCAGTTAGGGAAGTTTTCCATCATTACTTTTTGAAAGAGGTTCTCTGTCCCTTGCTCCTCTTCTCCTTCTGGTATCCCTATTATATGGATATTATTACGTTTCAGGTCATCCTGTATTTTCCTCAATGCCTGTTCACTCTTTTTGAGTGTTTCTTCATTTTCTCGCTCTTTCTGGGAGCTTTTTTATACCTTGTCCTCCAGCTTGCTGATTCGATCCTTGGCTTCATCTAGCCTGCTTTTGATTCCTTCCACTGTGTTCTTCAATTCAGAAATGGTATTCTTCATTTCCTCTTGTCTCTTATTGATAGTTTCTATGTCCTTCTTCGTGCTGATATGGTTTGCAGTAAGCTCCTTTTAGCTCCCCAGTAGTTCTTTGAATTCTCTCTGAGCTCACTGAGCTCATTAAGCTTCCTTATAACCATTGATTTGAACTCAGTATCTGATAGTTTACTTGCCTCAATTTCATTTAGTTCTCTTTCTGGGAATTCCTCCTTTCCCTTTGAGTGGGGGGTGTTTCTTTGTCTTTCCATTATTTGTGAGACTCTTCTTTTTTGCTTCTGCTTCTTAAATTGATCTGTCTTGATTTCCTGACTTTGTGGTGTGAACTTCTGTGGTAGGAGACTGCTGTTTTTTCTTTCTAGATCTGCCTCTGATGATGTCAGGTATTGACCCTGTCTGACTTTAGTCAGTCTGTTCAAGTCTTCCAGGAATCTACTGTC